GAGTAGGGCTCGTCGCCGCTGGGATCGCCGCCGTCGAAGGAGAAGCCCGCCTGGGAGAAGCTCGAGCTGTCGGAGAAGTGGGGGCTGTGGATGTCGTGGACGGAGCCGCCGTCGGAGCCCCAGTCGATGTCCGGCGCGGGGCCCCGGCGCCGGAGCAGCGCGTTCGGCGGGCCCTTGGGCCGCCGCGCCTGTCCGCTGTGGCGCCGGCCGCTCCGGGGCCCCCACGACGGCCGCCGCGCGCCGGGGTCCGGGCTCGCGTTGTCCGAGCTGCCCGTCATCGAGGACACGCCGGAGCCGCGGCGGCCACCGAGGGCGTAGGCGAGCGTCGCCGCGCCGTCGGAGCGCCGCCGCTCGACGCGGCGGTTCGTCGTGAAGATCGGGTGCGGCGCCGCGCGGCGCCGCGACGACTGCGCGGGCGACGAGTCCGCGGAGTTGCCCCGCGACGCCGCCGCGGACGACGACGAGCCGCCGGCGCTGAGCTTGCGCGACGACGAGCCCCGCCGCGGCCGCGGCGCGCCGAAGTCGTCGAGCGTGAAGTCGCCGTCGCGCGTGCCGCTCTCCGACCGGCCGTCCTCGGAGCTGCGGCCGTCGGAGCCGCCCTCGCCGCGGCGCCCGGCCTCGGCCCGCGCGGCGTCGGACTCGACCCAGGCGGCGAAGCGGCCGAGCATCTCCTCCGCGAGGACGGACGTGACGAACTCGCGCGGCCCGCGGAAGAGGCCCGGCGGCACGGCGCCCGTCTCGAGCCTGCGTGGAACTCAAATCTTCAACCCGACTTCAATGTGCGCGTATGCGACCGTTTCGATACGATCACTTCTGTCGTGCTTCGCGGACTCGACGAGAGCGATCGATTCGTCCAAAAATCAGCCGAATCGACTTCGATTTGACGGAGCTAGAGAATTTCAAAGTTTGGTCGGGACGTCCCGAACCAGCGGTTGATTTGCACACCGTCTCGAGCAGGGAGAGCACGAGCTTGCAGTCCTTGGCGTTGGCGTGGACGTTGTAGTCCGCCGTCGGCGACAGGTAGCGCTCGTAGATCTCGAAGCCCCGCGCGAGCGCGTGCGGGTTCCGGCAGTGATTGTCGCCGTCGCCGAGGCCCGGCGCGGCGTCCGCCGCCTCCGCGTTCTGGATGCTCAGGCACTTGGCCACGTAGCCCTCGAACTTCTCCACGGTCCGCAGGAAGTAGAGGAGCTCCACCTTGTACTCGGCGTGGAGGAACGTCTCGAGGAGCTTCGCCTCCGCGCGGTCCGCGAGGATCAAGCCGAGCACGCGGCGCTGCGCGTCGCCGCGCTCGGCCGCGGCCTCGACGCTCAGGCGCCGCTCGAGGCGCGGGGCGGCGTCGGCGGCGTCGACGGAGTTGCGCCGCGCCATGCCGAGGGACACGGACAGCTTCCGGACCGTCGGCCGCCGGGCCGGGGCCGCGGCGGCCGCGGCGGCCGCCGGCGCCGCCCGCGCCGCCGGGGGCGCCGGACCGGACCGGGGCTCGCCCGCCGGCGCGCGGGCGCCGCCGCCGCCGGGCGCCCGGGCCGCGGGGGCCTTGCTCGCGGACGACACGGCACCGCCCATGACACCGCCCAAAGTGGGAACGCAGCCCCTTCGAGAGAGCAAAACCTGCTCTCATGGGCGGTTGTCGAGTACTATTGTATCTGTTCAATATCAAGGTTTTGCTACGGGGGGCGACACCAGACCGCGACGCCGTCCAAGCGCGCGAGCATGGTGGCCTAAACGCCGCCAAATTGACGAGGGCGCTCCTTACCCGACCCCTCGCGCGTGGGAAAAGGGCCGGGGACCTAGGTCTTGGTGGAAGTCCGGGCAGCGATGGCGACCGCGCGCGCGCGCAGTGGCCGCGGTGTGCTCGAATCGATCTGTGATGCGCATCTCGACCTTGGCGGTCGCGTTCTTGAGTCCGATCTGGTCCATGGGTCCGTTCGACCTGCCTGGAGGCCCCAACACTAACGTGAGCAGCCCCTTGGCCAACCAGGTACACTCGATGACGCTGTGCGCCATGCAAGTCGTTCGAGGCCGCCGTGCGAATGGCTCCGGTCACGGCGCGGTCCATGGCGCGGCGCTGTGTTCGCCGACATACTAGAGCGTGGTACTCGCCGCTCGGCTGCGCGTGGTGCCACCCTGGGGCTGCCACAGAGGCGCTCGAAGCTGTGCCGCCACTGGGAATCGCCGCTCCGGCGCCCAAGCGTTCGTCGACACAGCCAATTCCCGCGAGCAGAGCACCTCCGGAGTCACCCATGGGTACGAGGTGTCCACCGCCGCCACCCTGACTCCAGGCGTCGCGCTCCATGGCCACGCGCGACGAGCCGGGCTGCCCCTCGAGGCGCTCCGGGGCTGCTGGATGCCGGCGGATTCGAATCCGACCAATGAAATGCTTGCATTATATCGATTTTGTCGATTTTCGACGCCTCCGAGCGCTCCGACCGCGTCGCCAGACGTCCCCACAAGTCCATTTCCGCGCTCAGGTCGCTCGCATCAGCCTATGCAGTGATTTGGCGACGTTCCTGGGCCTGCTGGGCCGAGTTTGAGGCCGGTGTCACCCCCCGTGTTTTGCTTGCTCCAGTCACTGAGGCAACGATAAGTTGAAGTGCAAGCAAGGACTCAAGAATCATCTGAAATCCGATATCGATGCGTAGTTAAGACGACTCTTCAGCCCTGCTTGTCGATGATGGCGGCCTTGCGGGAGAGGCTGAGCTTCTTGGAGTCGTCGTCGACGGCGAGGACCTTGACGTCGAACGAGTCGCCGACCTCGATGAACTTCTCGATGTTGCGGACGCGCTCGAGGGCGAGCTCGGAGATGTGGCAGAGGCCCTCGAGGCCCGGGAAGTCGTCGAACTCGACGAAGGCGCCGAAGTTCTTGATGGACACGACGGAGCCCGCGTAGGTTTTGTCGACCTCGGGCATGGGCCCGTCGTAGCGCGGCCGCCCGCGCCCGCCGCCGCCGCCGCGGCCGCCCTTGCCGTCGTCGACGCAGAGCGCCGTGATGGCCTCGACGGCGCCGGCGACGCCCTCGTCGTCGAGGCCGCTCACCGTCACCAGGCCCGCCTCGGACACGTCGATGTTCGAGAGCGCGAACTCGTCGATGAGGCCCTTGATCGTCGCGCCGCCCTTGCCGATGATCTTGCCGATGAAGGACGGGTCGACCTGGAGCTGCTTGGACCGGGGCACGGAGGGCGCGAGCGTCGTCGCCGGCTCGGCCGTGCCCCGGGTCGCCATCTCCGAGAGCACGTGGAGCCGCGCGGCGCGCGCCTGGCCCATGGCGTCGCCCAGCGTCGCCGCCGAGAGGCCGAGCGTTTTGACGTCGAGCTGGAAGGCGCTGATGCCCTCGGCGGAGCCCGCGACCTTGAAGTCCATGGATCCTAAAGCATCTTCCACCCCGAGGATGTCCGTGAGCACGACGGGGTCCTCGCCGTCCGCGAGGAGCACGCCCATGGCGACGCCCGCGACGGAGCAGCGCAACGGCACGCCGCCGTCGAGGAGCGCGAGGCAGCCGCCGCAGACCGAGGCCATGGAGCTCGAGCCGCACGACTCCGTGATCAACGATTCGACGCGCACGGAATAAGGGAACGCGTCCTTGTCGGGCATGGCCGCCCGGAGGGCCTTCTCCGCGAGGGCGCCGTGGCCGACCTCGCGGCGGCCCGGCGCGCCGACGCGGCCCGTCTCGCCGACGGACGACGGCGGGAACGCGTACTGGAGGTAGAACCGCTTGTCGGGCTTCGCGTCGTCCAAGGCGTCGTCGTTGCGCAGGTTCATGGAGTTGTCGCCGAGCGTGCACGTCGCCAGGGACTGCGTCTCGCCGCGCGTGAAGACCGCGGAGCCGTGCGCCGTCGGCAGGGGCCGCATGGCGACGTCGATGGGCCGGACCTCGTCCGTCGCGCGGCCGTCGGACCGCTTGCCCTCGGCGCGCACGACGTCCCCGAGGCACTTCTCCGTGAGCTTCTTCGCCGCGCGGCGCGCGTCGGCCTTGCCGTAGCCCCGCTCGTCCGCGAAGGCGATGATCTTCGCGTCGAGAGCTTCGTACTTCTTGCGGTGGGCCTTCATGTCGCCCTCGCGCAGCGCGAGCACGCTGCCGCGCACGTCGTCGGCGAAGGCCTCGGCGAGGGCCGCCTTGAGGTCCGCGGGGAAGGGGCGCACGCGGTCGCCGGCCTCCTTGGCCGGGATCGCGCCGGAGTCTCGCAGGTCCGCCGCCCAGGCGCCGATGGCCTCGCCGACGCGCGCCGCGTCGGCCGTCGCCCGCGTCAGCGCCTCGACGGCGACGTCGTCGCCGACGAAGTCGCCCTCGGCCTCGACCATGACGACGGAGTCGCCGCCGCTGCCGACGACGATCTGGAACGCCGCGGCCTCGAGCTCCTCGACCGTCGGGTCGCTGACAAAGGCCACGGCGCCGTCGTCGTCGGCCGTCGCGACGACGCGCGCGCAGCCGACGTCGCAGAGCGTCGGCACCGTCGAGAGCTGGAGCGCGGCCGCCGCGGCCTGCACGGCGAGCACGTCCGCGGGGTACTGGCCGTCGTAGCTCAGGACCCACGAGATGAGCTGGAGGTCCGCGCACCAGCCGTCGACGACCGTGGGCCGCAGGGGCCGGTCGATGAGGCGGCAGGTGAGGATCTCCTTGTCGTTCGCGCGGCCGTCGCGCTTGTTGTAGCCGCCGGACGTGCGGCCGGTCGACGAGTAGCGCTCCTGGTACTCGACGGACATGGGCAGGAAGTCGCCGCCGCCGTCCGCGGACCCGACGCAGAGCGTCGTGTAGACCGTCGTGCCGCCGCGCTTCGCGATCACCGCCGCGTCGGCCTGGCGGCCGAGGCGGCCCGTCTCCAGGACGAGGGGCTCGTGGCCGTCGCCGAGGTCGATGGACACGGCGTGGGGCGCCTCCGGCAGCGTGTTCACGGCCAGGGACGTCGCCAGCCGCCGCCGGCGGGCCGGCGCCTGCAAGGCCGAGGCCGTCGCGAGGACATAGAGGAGCACGCGCTGACTACCCATCGCGGCGCGCCACATCAAGTGCGAGCGCTTCAAGTTGCACCTCAATAGCCACTCCGCGACGAGCAGCCCCGCGCAAAACCGCACGACCGCGCCCGTCGATCCCGCCCCCAGCCTCGATGGGCGTGCGCTTGTTCGCGGTGGCGCCCGCCTAAGCCCGCGCACGCCGGGTCGCACGCGCGCGCGTCCTCGGTCCCTGGAGCCCGCCTCGCCCCAAACACAATCCGTCGGCGCGGGCAGCCCGCGCCATGGGCTCGGCGGCGTCGAGCGCCGTGGGCCCGAGCGGGTATAGCCTGGACGACCTCCTCGCCCACCGCAGCGCGACGGGCGACCTGACGGCCCAGGCGCTCTGCGACCTGGCCCAGACCCACTTCGACGTGGCCTGGAGGCCGGAGGACCTCGCGAAACACAGGGTCGTCCAGGGCAAGGCGTCGCCCGCGCCGGGCGACGCGGTCGTCATCGACGGCGACGGCTTCCGCGACTACGTCGGCAAGGCCTGCGTGCGCAAGGGCAACGCCGTGAGCTTCCCGGAGAAGCCCGGCGACATCTACAGCCTCATCTCCCCGCTCGAGGCGCGCCAGGGCTTCCCGCGCGCGCTCGCGGCGCTGAAAGCGAACCCGAAGCTGGCCGCGCAGCCCATGCGCGGCCACGGCGCGGGCAGCTCCTGGCTGCCCCTCCACTGCGTTTTGCTCCTGGGGCCCAAGTTCCAGGGCTGGTGGTGGCCCTTGGCCGAGCCGCTCGTCGGCGCCTTGCTCCAGGCGCACCCGCGCGCGGCGCAGCAGCGCGTGCTCGAGGGCGTGCCCTTCCCCTTCGGCCACCTGCCCCTGGAGCTCGCCGTGACGCGCGGCTGGGACGCGCGCGTCGTCGCCAAGGTCCACGGCGCGTACCGCGCGGCCGCGTCGACGCTCGACCCCATCCGGCTCCCCAAGGCCGCGCTCTCGAAAGCCGCGAAAGCGGAGAAGAAGACCGCGGGCAAGGGCGCCAAGCCGCCGCCCGCGTCTTCCGCGCCGGAGATCGCGCTCCACGAGATCAAGGGCGGCGGCACGGTCGCGACGCTCGCCGCGGCGGGCTGGAAGAAGGAGGACGCGCCGGAATCCATACGGGGCCTCCGGTGGTGCCGCAAGGCCGCGGAGTCGTGCAAGCCGCGCATCAAGCTCGACGTGCTCCTCCTCCTCCCCAAGCCGGACAAGGACCTGGGCAACTGGAGCGACGGCCGCGAGATCCGGCGGTCCTTCGAGGACAAGCTGAGCTCCAAGGCCTGCAAGGCCGCGAAGCACGCGTCGAAGCGCGCGAAGCGCGCGGAGAACTTCGCGAAAAAGGCCATGGGCAAGGGCAAGAAGATCGCCGACGACCCGAACAAGGCCAAGGCCGCCGTCGCCGAGCTCCTCGAGGCCGCGGCGCTCTACGCGTCCATCGTCGAGACGCTCGTCGCCGCGCACGAGGGCTTCGTCGTCCTCGACGACTCCAAGCTCGCCGCGGCGAAGACGGAGTACGGCGGCAAGCGCACCGCGGCGCTCGAGCGCGCGGACACGATCGATCTCGTCGCAGACCGCACCGCTCCGCGTCCGCGCGAAGCTGCCGCTGAACCCGACGGCGCCGGGCCAGCTGGCGCGCGCGTGGTACGACGCGATGCACGCGGGCGGCCACGCGCCGCCCGAGGCGCCCAACGCGGCCGCGCCGCCGGAGACCGACGCGCCCGCGTCGAGCGCCAAGGGCGGGGCCGAGCCGAAGAAGGACTGGGCGAGCCCCAGCGTGCCCCCGCTCAAGAGCGCCTAGGCCGGGGGCCCATCTTACGTCGCTACTCGTGGCGGTGCGGTAGGCTCGCGGTCGCGCCGAGTCGCGGTCGCGAAGATTCGAGTAATTTCGCGGCTTCAAGATAAGTTTCAAGATCCCCCGATTGCCGCCGTTCGAATGCAAAAAAGCATTGAGGGGCTGCCCGCGCCGGCGCACGGCGGCGCCATGGGCCCCAAGCAGGAGAAGAAAAAACGCGCGTCCTACTTTGGCGGGTCGGGCAAGAAGGCGGCGCTCCTGCCGGCCCTCGAGGAGCGCGTCCTCGTGTCCCTCGCCCTCGTCTACGACTTCCTCAACGCCCGCGTGAAGTCGTCGCCCTGGCTCTACCGCGACGGCGGGTCGAAGAAGGCGCAGATGGCCGTCGCCGTCGCCATCCGCGAGGGCACCATCGGCGCCCAGCTCGCCGGCGGCAAGCTCGACCTCGACGGCGACGTGCCCGCGGTCTGCGCGGCCGTCAAGCAGACGCTCGCAAACCACGCGCCGATCACGGGCTACGGCCACTACGGCGCCTTCCTCGACGCCGGCGGGAGCGCCGACGCGCTCCGCGCCGCCTGCGGGTCCACGCTCGCGCCCGTCATGGCGCGCGCGCTCCACGAGCTCTGCGGCCACCTCCTCGCGGTCTCGGCCGCGGGACCCGCGACGCAGCTCGCGACGGGCCAGCTCGCGCACGTCTTCGCGCCGCTGCTGCTGCGCGCGTCCGAGGACAAGGGCGCGTCGCCGCGGGCCGACGAGGCGCGGGCGCGCACCTGCGCGGCGTCGATCTTGGCGCTGCCCTGGACCGCGCCGGCGTCGCGGGAAACGAACGTCGAGCGGTCCAAGTCGTGGACCGCGGACCGGCCGAGCCTCGACGGCGCCGCGCCGGTCTTCGCCGGCGCGCCCGAGCTCCCGAGCTCGGCGACGGCGCCGGCCCTGTCCCTCGGCGCCGCCGCGCGCGTCGCGGCCGCCGCGCGGCGCCGGTCGTCGTCGGGAGGGTCCTCGGGCTCTTTGGGCCTCCGGTCGCTCAAGGTGAGCTGGGCGGGCGCCGAGGACGGGCCAAACGACGAGGACGCGCTCCGGAACGCCTTCGCCTTCGCCGGCGCCGTCCACAAGGCGGGCATCTCGCTGAAGAAGCACTCGGGTTTGGTGCTCTTCAAGGACGAGCAGGCCTGCGCGCGCGCGGCCGCGGAGTACGACGGCCCCTGGGTCGCGCGCCGCGTCGCGGACCCCGTGCTCCTCCTCCAGGACGCGCCGCCCGACGAGCCGCCGCCGCCGCCGCCCGCGGAGCGGCCGCTGCCGCCGCCCGCGGAGCGCCGGTTGTCGCAGACGCTGCCCGCGCCGTCGTCCGCGGCCGCCGCGCCCACGAAAAAGGTGCTCGACGTCCAGGCGCGGACCCTCAAGGTGACCTGGCCGTCCTTCGCGCCGCGGCCCAAGGACGAGGACCTCCAGTTCGTCTTCAAGAAGTTCGGCCCCCTCATCCAGTGCGGCGTGGGACTGAAGAAGCGGTCCGCGCTCGTACTCTTCGCGAAAGCGCCCGACGCCGCGGACGCGGAGCTCCTCTACCGGGGCCCCTGGAGCGTGACGCGCCTCCTCGCCGCCGAGGCCCCCGCCGCCGCCGCGAGCGACGGCGAGGCGCCGCCCGCGCGCCGCCGGTCCATCTCCGCGCTCGCGGCGCCCGGCGGCCCGGAGCGGACGCTCAAGGTCAAGTGGAACGGCGACGTCGAGAGGCCGAGCGAGGACATGCTGCGCACGGTCTTCGGCCACTACGGCGCCGTGCTCAAGTGCGGCATCGGCAAGCGGTCCGCGGCCCTCGTCCAGTTCGCCGACGCGGACGCGGCCGCCGCCGCGGAGCGCGGCTACGCCGGGCCTTGGCGCGTCGCGCGGCTCTCGGGCTCCGGCGACGGCTCGGAGCCGGGCACGACGGACGACGACCGCACCGACGACGCGCCGCCGCCGCCGCCGACGGCCGCCGAGGTCCGCCGGCGGTCGCTCGCGGTGACTCG